TATAAAAAACACCACCCACTGGCCAATCAGCTGTTCGGACAGAAAATGACTCCGTTGACAGAAATGCAGCCCAGTCATGACGGGAAGTTTAATTCATTTGATTGATTTTGATTTGAAAGTTTATTTTGAACACTAAAAAGAAAAGAAAGCAACAACAGACAATGAAAAGACTGTTCAAAAAGGAGTGGAAAGAAGTCGAAATTTCATCCCACCCCTTCATAAGAAAGAAACTGATAATTTGCGAACACTTAAAAGCACCATTAATTAGTGCCAACATTTTGTTTTGTTGGAGGAAATGATCCCTGTTAAAGATAATGGGCCTAATTGACAGCTTTCCTGCTGGAAATGTGGAAAGTAGCCTATCATCTCTACACTTCATGGTGTTTGAGGGATTTTCCTTTTCGTTTTTTAAAGAGGGAGACTAGGTATATTTTTGCGCAGCTGTTAATTTCTAACAGCTCAATATCAGGATGATTTTATTCAGACTATCAATTTGGTGTTGATATGATTTAATTGTGGCCTCAGCTTTAAGCTTTATTGTAGCATATATAACGTTATGACAAAGAAGACCAATTTATCAGACGCAATGATGTTAGACGATAATTGTAATACACGCATTTCATCTGTGCAGCATTGATTTCATGAGATTCAAGGGTGTGATCAGTGTCAGATGTACAGGTACAGGTACTGTAGCTACTTGAACCAGTGATGAGTCATTTAACCTACCTTTGTCTTGATTTTTCCCTCTCTCCTCCTCTATTTCTTCTTTCCTTACCCGTTTTTTTTTTCTTCTCTATTAGGCTATGTGATTTCACTGATGTTTTGACAGGGAAATTTCTTTGACAAGCTTTTAGTGGCTTCTAACATCTCCAGCACTTTTCTTTTTTAATCTTGTAAATTTTATACTCTCTGTTTTTAACATTATGTGCAAATAAACTAATCTAAACTAAAACTAAACATTATTCATCCCGTTATGCGTTGCCACGCATGTTTCCTCCTCCTGCAGCTGTCACAGTGTTGTCCTTTTCTGTAATGTTGCTTTTCTCCTCCTCATATTTTAGTAGAATTAATCTCTGATCCTCACGAGAAATACTTTTTTTTCCCTCACATACGGCGCTCTGTGAGGATGCTCAGTGACGCGGCGCTTCTCTCATGATTGTGATTGGTCCACTGTGTGCGCGTTCACGGCTCTTGATAAAGCAACCCTGGGTTGAGTTACCGAGTTGATATCCAGCGTCGTGATACTGATTATCCTGATTGCCATTGTTAGGGTTAGTCAACCCAGGATAGGTCTGGGTAACCCAGGAAAGGTTGATCTCGCTTCATGATACAGGCCCCTGGACGTGGTTAGTTTTAGTAAAAAACATGGTTTGATTCTACATTCTTAAAGGGGAACTAATGTTTTTTTTCAACCTGGGCCCTATTTTCCGATCCAGCAGACTGGACGGCAATATGATACGCTGTCCAGCCCCATATCATTAACGCAAAAGCAGAAAGCTACATATTTCATTCTGCTTTTGCGTCCTAAGGCTCCTTGAAAGCAGTGGGGATAAGGAGCTAGCCTCCGTTTCAAAGTAATGCAAAAGTAGTGTAATAAGTAAGATATTACTCTACACAAAGAGTAATATTGTAAAGTAACATTCAAATGAAGGTTAACTAGAAAAATATAATATTTTACATTTTGAGAGGAACTTGCCCAACACTACTGCAGGGTCATTTGACCCATGTTTAAATGCAATTTGTAATCTTTCCCAGTACATTAAAAAGCCAGATGTTAGAGGATGTTAAAGGGTTTTTTTGTGCAGTAGAGTAGGGGCTTAAAGAGGCAACAGATAGCATTTTTTCCTAAATATATCTTTATGAAAATAATGTGGGTTGCACAGGGTAGTGGCCACAGTAAAATCAGACTATCAGCATTTACATAGGTTACTTAGTGGCTTTGCAATCTTTGTAATAAGCTTCTGCCACCAGGGGCGAAATTTCGTGGGAAAAATCTGCTTTACGGCAGGAAACGCGTCATGTATTGCAAAACTGGTCAGTCAGCCAATCAGGGACTGGAGCTGGTCCTTATGAAGAGTTGGGCATGTAATAGTTGAGCACAATGGCAGACGGACAAAGTTTGGAAACAAGTGAAAAACGGCCTAGCAAAAGAAAACGAGCTTCTCTGTCTGAGGAGGCAAAGAAGAGCAAAAAGGAGAGTGATAAAAGAAGAGGAAAAACAAGAGTAAACCTCAGTCAGGCATTCAAGACGTGGAGGGAGCTCTGTGACCAAAGAGGCTTCAAAACTGATGTCCAGCTAGCTTTCTTTCTAATGGATCAGTAAGTAACACAGCTAAATGTTAGCTATACGAGAGGACTGTACTGTACTGGCTGCTAGTTCATTCCTAGCTGGCCAGCATCGCAAATCGCCGCAACAAGGGACCGGGTAGCAAGTGTTGGTCGGCTGACATCCTCGTTGCCATTCTGCGGCAGTCCTCGGACAGTGAGGGCAGCCTTTGCAGCTACTGGGCACCCAGCATCTCCGACCGGGAGAAGTGGAGTAAAATCCTCTCCTCCACTCCCGTTTGTCTGATGAACGCCTCTCCTCTGTCAATACACTCTGCCAGCAGTTTAATAATATTGATTCAAGTTGTAACATTTGAATGTTTTAGTAGTAAGTAATTATTTACATTACTATTTGCTTTTTCTTCAGATACATGTTATAATTGTTGCTCAGTCACTTTACTCATTTATTTAGTAGACTGTCCACACACCCTCTCATTCTACATATACATAGAGGTATGCCAGTGGCTTTACAGCCTACATTTTATTGATTATCTCTGATCCCCACGGTCAATTTGGTCATTGCGACAGTGTGAGCAACACCGCTGACGCTAGGTGGCGCCAAGCTAAAAAAAAAAAAAAAACGAATTCTATCTGTTGCCTCTTTAAGAGATGTTGAACAAGACCCACTGTGTGAACCTCCTGAATCATTTAACTGATCATATGAGGCAGGCCTCAGATTATGTCAGAAATGGAGGAAGCATTACAGTTGCCACTGCATGTAAATGTAAAAGGTATTTTACCTGTGTGAGTCAGGTGATGGTCTGATCGCAGCCAATATTGGTTGAATCAGAGATAGTGTTAGAACGCAACAGCCTAGATATGGATGAACACCTGCATGCTACACACACACACACACACACACACACACACACACACTAGTTTTATTTACATATTCCAGTGATATAATGTCAGTGGGAGTAGGGTTGGAATCACATACAAAAACAACACAGTCTTCAGAAATCAGAGACACTGATACAAACAATATCTGTAAGTTCAGAACATGTCGTATTTTATGTGTATCTTACTATCTTATTTTACTATACAATGACGAAAACTCTGTCTGTGGGTGGGTGTGTCTGTGTGTCTGTTCCACATTTTCCTCCTCACTGACTTGGTCAATCCATGTGAAATTTGGCAGAGTGGTAGAGGGTCATGGGATGATGTGAATGAAGCAATATTACATCAATTGGCCAAAGGGGGGCGCTATAGCAACTGATTGAAATTGCAAACTTTGAATGGGCATATCTCATGCCCCGTATGTCGTAGAGACATGAAACTTTGCACAGAGATGCCTCTCCTCATGAGGAACAAATCTGGTCTCAAGAACCCATAATTTCCAGTTATATGAATTTTCCGCCATTTTGAATTTTTTGAAAAACACTTCAAATTGATCTCTTCCTAGGAAGTTTGACCGATCTGCATGAAACTCAGTGAACATAATTTAGGGACCAATATCTAAAGTTCCCTCTTGGCAAAAGTTGGAAAACTTACTAAAACTGAGTTTCTATAAGGCAATGAATATTGCGGAGGGCGTGTCTCATCACATAAAGGTGTATAACATCTCAAGGGTTTCACCGATCACCACGCAACTTTGTACGCATATGACCACACATAATCTGAGGGGCCCCCTCCATTATTGACCCCATCAAACAAAATGGAGGCGCTAGAGAGCTAATTTCCTATCTAGGCCTAACCGCCATATGAATTTTTACTAAACTTGGTAGATATGTAGAACAGGACGTCTCAAGGTGACTGGAGAAATTTAACTCTAATTGGCAACTGGGTGGCGCTATAACAACAGAAAAATGCTTAAAAATGGCTAAAATGTGCTGTGGCTCCCCCTGTGGCTGAATGTTTGTTTTTTTCCCTAATTTTTGGTATGACTAAGTCATGGTATGGTATGCTAAACTGTCAGTGTGTCATTCTGTCTGACCCACGTTTTTCTACTCACTGATGTGGTCAGTCTATGTAAAACAGCACAAGGCACCCATCAACTGTCAAAAAAGTTAAATTGTGTTTGCTGTTATATTCTTCCACCACCAGTAGAGAGAGATGCTGGATCAGTTATCAATTACTGCACAACTTGTGTTTGTATCCATGTGTTTGTGTTTGTGTTTGTGTTTGTGTTTGTGTTTGTGTGTGTGTGTGTGTGTGTGTGTTCTGTACCTTGCTCCAACCTTTTCTGTAGAAAAATGGGAGGAAAAAGGCAACAAGGGTCAGAGTCACAGTTAGCATCATCAGGCCTCGGTGAACCTACACACACACACACACACACACACACACACACACACACACACACACACACACACACGACAGCATAGCTTTTATGTCTGTCTCTGTCATTTCTTTCACTACATTTTTTATTTTGCAAAGCTGGTGTGGTGTGTGTGTGTGTGTGTGTGTGTGTGTGTGTGTGCGCGCACAGGTGCGTGCATATGTGTGTATGTCTAATATCTACCTGGAACCAGACTTTCTGGCCAAGCAGAGTGTGATTTGGCCAATCAGGTTTGTAGAAGCTGGCAATGAAGGTACCAACACTTCCTGTTAGCATCCAAGCTAACAGCATTAAGGCACCTAGAGAAGTCAAGGCAATCAAGCAGTTATTTTCTGCAGCTACACACACTTCCCAAAGTAAACACTAAATGTTACACTGAAAACAGTTAAATACTGCCCTGCAACATCATAACGGCAAAACTATTGCATCTTCTCCTTCTGACAAAAATCTGCTGGCAGACTGACATTCTCATCTTACCGAGTATCTAATTGTCTAATAATGTGTTTTCTGTCACTTGGCTTTGTGTGCATTATTGATTGCATTAAAGTGATCTGATTAGGATTATGTTGTGTTGTGGGTAACTCAGAGAAAATTGATGGAATGAAACCTTGTTAACTAGGGGTGTTATGGTTCACAAAATTCATGGTTTGGTTCGATACAATACAGCGGTGTCATGGTTCAATATATTTTCGATACAACAAAAAGTAGGAATGCCAGAGAAATTTCCTTTATTCATAAAGTTTTAAATGTATGAAAACTAATGTAATTAGGACTTAGTTTTTTGTACAAAGCAGGAATTACTGTCTGGCTGATATGGTCTTAATAAAATCTGGATATAGAAAAATCTGTGATTTCTTTCTAAACACATTCTACATGTTAGAAAATACTTGTTGAAAACATGTGAAAAGACTTGGAACTATGTAACACTGAATTGTGGAGTTAGACTTTTAAATTGTTTTTCACCATTTCTGTGTCCTTCGGTATAAAAACTACTTTACTACTGACATTAGAGCGCATAGTATCAGTCTCTTTTCTTTCGCCCACTGTGTGTTGGCGGCAAGTTTGCTGTATCCCACGAGCTCTCTCACACAAGCTAAAAATCACAAATGTACCGTTTGGTCTATCTGGCCGAATCGGCTAACCAGCCTGCCAGCACTTACTGCTCACTGCTGTGGGTGTGTGCTTTGAAATAACATTAGTTGCTGTTAGCTGCAGAATGAGAGGCTATCGCTGCGCAGGGGATTTTGCGCTGTGCAACCACATGTGTGGTACTGGCTTGGCTGCTAAGGTGAGTCTGTGGTTGCGCAGCAGCTCATCCTCTGGCTCAGGGGTCGTGTCTGTTACTGAACTAAGGAGAGTCTGTAGCTGTGCGGCGGCTTATTCTTTGGCTC